TGCGGAAAGGGAATCCCAAGTTCTCCAATCATCTTTTGCCCTTTCAAAACCCCTGGGCCAGGTCACTGCCAGCTAGCTCATCACATATATAGTAAAGGGAGGCTGCCTTTCATCCTCTTGGCCACAGTTCTCCTGTTACCACTAGTGCTGTTTCTATAATGGGTGTTCTGTGCACCCCGGCCTCACCCAAGGCTCTGGTGAAAAATAGCAAACAAAACACAAGCCCCTGGGCTATAACATCAATCTAAGCCATCTGGCTCCAACCTTCTTCTCGCCACACCAGAGTTATTCTATCTGTCCCCAATCTCAGGCCCTACCTGCAGTTTGGCTTCTACTCATTACTCGCACCAGCAGAGTTCCTTCCTCCTTGGCTGCCAGCAGGGAAATCCCTGCCTGGCCTTTGCCCTGAGGTTTAAATGGGAGTCCGGCCCTGCCCCGTCTAGTCAGCTGACCACTAGCAGGTGTGGGTCACTGGGTCCCACTAGTTGCCCCAGCAGTCAGCACCTGAGGAGTTATCCGAGCTCTCCAAGTAGCGGGCACCTTAATGCCCTGCTACAGGCGTACAAGTTCCACCTCATAGTCTGGGATGCTTTGGAGGGGGACAGGCCTCCTGGTGATGGTGCCATCACTACCACTACCAGCCAGCTCATTTCAAAATGCAGGAAGGTGGCAGGCTACTTCCACCGGAGCATCAAGGGGGACAAGATGCTGCAGGAAAAACAGGCAGAGCTGAGCATCCCACAGCACAAAATCATGCAGGATGTGGAGACTCGGTGGAATTCCACATACCTGATGCTCGAAAGGCTGGTCGAGCAACAGAAGGCCATCCATGAGATGGCCTTGGTCGGGGACATTGGGATCAGTGCCCTCCCCTAACAAAACAATGGGATACCATCTCCCAGATCTTGGTGGTCTTCAAGCCGTTCCTCAAGGCCACCAAGAGCCTCACTGCTGGTGATGCCCTCCTTAGCCAGGTGATCCCCATAGTAAAGGAGCTTGAGAATCAAATGGAGAAGTTCCAAGGATCAGTGTTCCTGGCTGGGGCAAGCTGCTTTCGCCAGAGGTGCAGGCACTGGTGAAGCAGCTGAAGGAGGGCATAAAAAATGGCTGGGTCCATTGCAGTCCAGTATGGTCCACATGCTGGAGGTCATGTGCGACCCAAAGGTGACGTGGAGCATCTGCAGCAGCAGAACCCTCGATCACTGGATGGAGGTGCTAGTGAACACAGTCAGGGAGGCGGAGGCAGGGGGACGTGGAAGAGGGGGATCCACTTTCCCCTGCCAGCACTCCAACCACAAGCCAATCTCTTCCACCACAGCTGCTGCCAATGTGGGCCAAGGGCGTGGCTTCAATGTTGGGGTCCAGAGGCACCAGACCCCACCATCAGGCAGGTAGCATGGAGGCCCTGGTGGCTACCTATCTTGCCAAGGACTTGGAGCCACTGTGCTGTGACCCTTTGGCCTATTGGGCAACCTGCAGCCAGGTGTGGCAGAATCTGGTCACGGTTGCCTGGGAATACCTGTCCTGTCCACCGACCAGTGTTCCAAACGAGAGGGTGTTGCTGGTAATGTTCTGACACCCCACCACACCTCCTTGGATCCTGGTTTGGCGGAGCAGCTGGTGTTCCTGAAGGTGAACCTCCTGCTGCTGGGCTCCCCAAGCTCCACGTGCAGAGGGAATGAGTGCCACCCTCCTCACTCGCACCTATTTGCTTTTTTTATTTGCTACTAGAACCAGTTAATGCCCCATTCAGAGCTAGAGGTGACAGTTGAGTTTATCACCAACCAACAAGGGAAGAACATCTCTCTGCTGAGCTCCTGTGCCAGGAAGAACTTGGAGGTATGATTGGGACTATGGGGAAGGAGGAGGCCCCCGATCTTGGGCATGACCTAAAACTGCACCTTGCCAGGCTAGGGAGGCAGTCCCAGGAAATGCCAGGACTGTGAACCTCCCTGGTGAAAGGCGGGTAGGGGTCACCTGATAACCTCCAGCCACCACACGCACACAGTCCTGGCTGGGGAAAGCCGAGACCTGTGAGATCTTTGAGAGGCCTGAGGCTTACTGATTGCAGTGGAGTTGTGAGGGTGAGAACAGGCAGGCAGCTCAGATCTGACCTGAGGTACCTCCAACGGGTTCGTGCTGGGGCCAGGACCCAAAGGGGGCTTAAAAGGCCAGGGGCCCACCACGAGGAAGGCCCAGAGCAAGAGGCTCGGGATTCTGACTGGCCTAAGGGGGGCCCATGGACCCAGTGTGTGGGGAGCAGATCACAGCTCTGCCCCAGGCTGCAGCCCCGTGCTGTCGCTGCCCAGCGACCCCAACAGCCCTGACCCCAGCTACACACACCCATCCCATTCCCGAATGCCGCTTTCTGCTCACCCGTGGGCCCAACCCAGCCATCTGGTCAAGCACAGGTGCAGAGCCACTTAGGGAGTTTTGATGAGCTGTTCTGGGGAAAGGGAGTGCTGACCTGGCCCACAACAGCTCACCAAAACTCCCTAAGTGGCCCTCCAGCCCAAATAATTGTCCACCCTTTCTGTATGCCCACGCATTACTTAAATCAATACGACAAATAATCTGCTTAAATTTTGGCTTCTTTTTAAGTGTTAGCAGGTCCTAAGTCTGCAAAAGTCAAGATGAAAGTATGACTACACTTACTAGGACAGATATTCAAATTCAAAGATCTTAAAATAATTTTTAAACAGGATACTGTCACTGGGAGTTTTTCATTCATTCTTCATTGTACATTCACTACATGAAAAACTGTGTTGCAAATCCAGGTACCCAAGCAAGATTTCATTTGGTTTCTGTCTGTTAAATTGGATTACATTTACCAAAGTCTCATTCATTTGGTGGGGAGAGACACTCATTTGAGGATTCAAGTTCTTTCTTTTTCTTTTTAAAAAGACTTTCTATAAGAGACATTTCTTAATATTGCATTATTCATTATTTTGTCTCATTCAAAATAGCTGCAGAGAGACAGCTTTGTAAGCACAGGATGATCTTGTACAATTTCATTATTGAAATGAGATAAATAGTAAATGTATATTAATGCTGCCTAGATACATCTGTAATGTTCCTACACCTGCTAATCTTATTACGCTCTCTGTAGAAAGGGCTGCTGCAAGGAAACTATTTGAGAGCCTTGTTACATGGCAATTTTGGGAGGCTTCTGGAGCTCTTACCCCTGGATTGTCTGTGTATTAACACCATAACATGGTTTTAAGCACTAGTTGTGCAGCTTAAAATTACACCACTCCAGGGCAGGATTAAAGCGTGGCCACTACTCACGGATGTGCCACCTAAATTGAAAGTTCTTCAGTATTACAGGATCTTTCACATGCATAAATGATGCATGCCACCGGTGGCTGGGGCAGTGCTGGCAGTGGTAGGAGCATGGCGGCGGCAAGCGGGGAGCTCCCACAAATGCCGTCGGCACTGTTGGCGGCGGTAGGAGGGTGGCGAGCGCCAACCAGCGGTTGGCAACCACCCGCAGACACTGCTGGCAGCAGCGGCTAGCGGCGATTGGTGACCCCCCACAGATGCTGCTGCAGTGTTAGCGGCACTTTTTTGTAGGGGGTGCACCACCACGCTGACAGGGTCCATATGCACCTGCCTGCACTCCCTATTCATCGCCAGCGCTCACCCCGCTGCCTGAAGAGCAGGTAAGAAGCCTGTCCTGGCTGACCAGCCCTCTACTGGCAATTCACAGCTCCAGCTCCTAGTCTTGGGCCTACTCACTAGGCCTCCAGTGGCAAGTCGGGGACAGTCAGAGAAGGCTCCTAGGCTAAGGGTGCGACTGCTCCAAATTCCAAGCTAGCACTAACACCAGTCAACATTTGTGCAGCTCACGGGTTAAGGTGAAACAAGACTCCAAATTGCCTTTGGGAAAGGAGTTGAACTGCCCACACTCTGAGCCCAGCCCTTTCCTGATTTCCAGCCCATCCTCTAGCCTCAGGTAAGCGCCTCCCTTTGCCTTGTGAAACAGCGGAGCAATATATAAGATCTAAATTTATCTCGGAAAATCACCATGCTTGTCTGGGGAAGTTTGCTATCCTTGTGCTAATAATCTTCCAGAAAGTACAATTTGTTTTATCTCATTCACTTTGAAAGGAAGACTGGGGACGTTGCTAACATCTGACCAAGGTAATGCCAGTTTTTTGGCTGATTAAAAGAATACATGTTTGACTGTTACTGTGTGTAATAAGGTACTTCATAGTTTTTCTCAAGATTGTAATGGGATAGCTAAGGATTAGGGGTGTGCGAAGCGGCCCTATTCAATTCGAATTTGGCCCGAATCAGGGGCAGTGATTCAATTCGTTGATTTGGATCAGTGTCTCTGATTCGATTCAGCCAAATCCGAATCTGAAAATTCAATGCTGATTCGGAGAATCAGTGATTCGGACATAGACACAGTTTTAAAAGTTTTTTCTACATACCTTGAGGTAGCAGGCACGACTCGTGATCGCTGCAATGCAGGGGTGCATGGAGCATCCCACAGGATGGGGGGGGCCCTCCACATGCTCGGCAGTGAACCCAGAAGTGGACTGGAAATATTTCCGGTCTACTTCTGGATCTGCTGGGGAGCGTGCTGGGAGGGGCCCCCACGTACCCCCAGCTCGGCAATTGGCCACAGAGGGACCCCGGGTGCCCCCCCCCAGACCCAGGAGGCACAAGTCACTGAGCTGGGGGATTGGGTGCGGGGGGCTGCACACTCCCTGGCAGACCTGCAAGTGGACCAGAAGTGCTTCTGGGCCACTTCCAGGTCTCCTGCTGAGCGCACTGGGGAGACCCCCGCACTTCTGTGGGATACTTCATGCACCCCAGCATCATAGCATTCATGAGCCCCTGATACCTAGAGGTATGTAGAAAAAAACATTTAAAGATGTCTCTATGTCTGAATCTCTCCAGATTGATTCAGAGAGATTAAAGGGTCCTCTAATTCAATGTGGAATCGGATATTTGGCTACCAAATCAGACCAAAACTCCACCAAATGGAATCAGGGACCGAAGCTTCGCACAGCCCTACTAAGGATGCACCTACAGTAGTTGAACTTAATCATATGTAATCATGAGCATGCATAGGAGACGTGAATGAAACCCTGCAAAAAGCCTCTACAAACTGAAGGAAATAGAAGGAGTTATAAATATACAATAGGTGTCGGAACTAAATCTTATCTGATTGGAACTCCTACACAGCATTGAAAATTCAACAAGAATACTCCCATGCTCTCTGAAACTGATGGATTCCCTTGTACTGGCAGTTTTGGTTTTCTTTCAAGATATTTTATGTAACATTCTCCAGGTAAAAAGATTTCTTTTCCCTGGGAGATTGCCCACTAGACTAGAAGACTAGAATGGGATGTAAGTGGCAGGTGTCAGTAATTACATTTTTCAAATATAGGAACCAACCTGTTGCACTCGGCTTTCAGTTTGTTCTTGTGGTTAACAAGTGGAAGAGAAAACATTTTACAGTTTTAAGCTATAAGATGGTCTGTTTGAGACAGTAATAATCATGCTATTTCCTCTTCTTTAGAGAAGAAGAGGTGGTTTGTTCTATTCATTGCTAATTTAAATGTAATTATTATTTAGCAATGTGAGTCACTTTAAAATTGTATCGATATCAGCAAATTTCTCTTATGAGTTTCAAAGTATAAAAGAAACTTACAGGTCTCAGGTTTTCTGCTCTGTCAGCTTTATGCCACTGTAGCTCTGTTTAACTCAATTAAATGATTTTGGTGTTAAACTGGTGTAATAGGATGGGAAGTCTGGTATTCACTTGGTTGGGCCTGAAGTTTTAAAAAAGTAAGTAATACTGAACACAAAAGTTATAAAAATAAAACTAAGCAGTGGCAGTTTGTAACTATATGTTCTCTAAACTAGATTTTCTGGTGCTTTTTTGTGCCAGTGTGGACAAAATGGGCAGCTGTTAATCTCCCTGGGCTTAGGAGCGCTTAGCTGACACAGAGACACCATGCTATGCTCTTGTAACTACCCAGCTTGATTCTGCTGTAGGACAGTGGTGTAGGTGCTTGGGAGGAGGTGTGTCTGCAGCACAGTACAAAGCCGACCTAAGGGATAGGTGACGTAGGTGGCCAACATTAGTCGCATTGGGTGGCACCAAACATATACACGTGCACAGCAGCACACAGCCCTGACAGGTCAGCCACACTGCTGCAGGCAAAGACAAGCAAGCAAGGGCTTGAGGCACAGTCCAGCAGGGAGGCAGAGCTACAGGAACTGTCTCCAGTCTCTGCTCAGGAGGAACTGGTCTGGGAAGTCTGGGCCCCACTGGAGTGCGCCCCACACTGCTGCCCACGTGCCTCTACCTGCAGCTGCACCACTGACTTATGCGGGGCGGGGGACAAAATACAAGTTCATTTAGGGTGCCATTTTTCCTAAGGCCAGCTCCGGTGTTACAGCATTCTGAACTGCTGCATACTCTTTTGGCTTGCTGTAATGAATGCTTGAACTAAGGTAAAGCAATATCCACTCTAAACCCTGAATATCAGTGACATTCTCTCCCAGGCTCAGGAGAGCAGAGGCCATATTTATATATAAAAAAATCATGAAATGGTGTAATTCACCTTTCAACCCATTTGTACATTGATGTAAACTCAAGTGATGTCACTGTGAAAGCTGATGTCACACAGACTGAGAGCGGGGTACAGCAGGTTGGATTTGCATTCTGGTCAATGAAAGCCTGCACCCTAAATTGAATGGATTATTCTACAGCAAAGACATATCCACTGTACCCCCAAAAATTAGCTGGCATAGCTATGGTGGAACAAGTTATTCTGCAGTACCCATTCTAAAGTGGCTCTTCATATGGACGCTCGTTTGGACTAAAAAACATTTTTATTCAAGAATAATTAGTGCACTTGCAAGAAGGACTGATTATTCTGGAATTAAGTTGATTTTATTACAGAACAGAGTGAACACGGCTACTGACAAGGGTGGTTTTGTGTGAGAATGACTAGGAACTGGGTAGAGACCACAAATTCAATTGCATAGGTATCTAAATAGGCATCAAATGGTAACAACCTTTGATGTTTACAGTTATGAGCAAGGACCCAGAAACTGGGAAAAGGTGATCCATACTAGTGGTTTGGAACATTTTCTATATATACCTTTCTATACCAGTTCTAAATCTCGGGCGCAGGACATCCCAGACCTGACTGCTGGTGAGCAGGAGGCTATAAATGAAGAGGGATCCTACTTATGCTATGTTTCTTGTACTCTTCTTTTAAAGCGGGGGTGTCAAATTTACAGCCCACAGGCTAGATCCAGCGCACAAAGCCATGTTTTCTGGCCCATGACATTCCTAAAGGGGCCAGGAATTTGAGGTGGGGCAAGCAAAGTTATGTTAATCCCTATGTCATTGCCACCACATCCAGATCTAGCCTGCAAGGAGCCCCATGGCCCCAATCCATGCTGGGGGACTGAGTGAGATTTACACCCCTGCTTTTGAAGTATCAGCTACTTGCCCTTGTCCAAGAAAAGATACTAGGCTAAGGTGGACCTTTGCTCTGACCTAGTATTGCAGTTCTTATTCCTTGTTTTGATGTTATATAAACTCATACATTTTTTGTTCTTGGAGGCTATGCTAATATCTATATATAATATATCAATTTATGCAAAGCTTGTAAATCTTTCCAGGATAGGAAGCACTAAAATAATTTACTTATAAACAATACATTGCAGATGACAGTGTTATGATTGCAGAATGTTGTTATTTCAGATAGAAATAAAACAAAAATTACATGCAAATTGCGATTAGAAAAAAGACTAAAATTTGGAATGAGCATTTATATGTGTTACTCATTGTACTTAGAAATCTTGAAATGAATAATATGATTTATCTTTAGATGTTCTGAAGAAGTTATGATAAAGGAAAACAATGTTCTCATCAATGTATTTTTTAACCAAAAACTTAGGGAAGTGCTCACCATCTCAGAGTACTATGGAAGTGTTTTGAAAATCATCTCTCATTTTGTAGACATGGTACAAAATAAGTGCAATGGAGTAATGCCCAACTGGAGACAACCATCTGACTACAGCCTGAATGGACATGTTGGAGCTCTGCTTAAGAGAAGCAAAAAGGCCATGGTGACAGGAGGTGGAGGCTACTTTGGATATAGTCTTGGGTGTGCTCTTGCCAAATCAGGGGTCACTGTCACTCTGTTTGATGTACAGAAACCTAAATGGAAAATTCCTAATGGCGTCATGTTTTTCCAGGTATCATGAAGTTACATTTTCTACAGCAGTGATGTTAAAATAAAAGTTACTTTTCTGTGTACTTTAGCAATTTTAATCTCTCAGTTCCATAAACAGAATAGCCATAAGCAATATTAAGGACCTCTTCAGAAGATTTCAGCTGCTGTATATGTCACTTTCCAAAGACCTCAAATGGTATAAATTAAGTGGAGCTGACCTACTAGCAGAAAGGAGCAAGACAGTGGTTTGAATAAAGAGCTGACAGTTGCAGCGTGTCTATATCCTGACTCTGCAGATACAGTGTGACTTTTGGGCCAGTCACTTCACCACTCTCTGTTTTGGTTTAACCATTTGTAAAATTAAAAGAGCTAATCTTACACAGGTAGATGGAGCATCAGGAATGGCAGCTTAAAGAAATGTACACCCAGGAAATGCCGTGACAGGTTCAAATTAAAAATGCCCACAGAGCAAGATAGTAATCTAGCAACTATCAGGTGGAAGTTTGAATCAGATTTGATGTTTGTACCTCACCACCCACCACTTATTAACCGTTTCACGTTTTGATATCTGTCTGTACAGCTAGCCTGAAGCTCAGAGCTGTGTCAACTGAACAGGAAATTTCTAACTCATTGGGTACATCTACACATGCCCGTACAGCACTGTTGCTACTGTGCCATCCTTTAGGAAGTACTAAATGATGGCTCAGTAATAGCCATTACTGTGCTGTTCCAGCAGCACACGGTTGTTTTAAGCTGTGCCTGCTATGTTGCTGTAGCAATATGCTATATCACAGGAGCACATTGCTACAGTGACATTGTTATAATGTCATGGTTTGTGCCAGCCGATGCTACATTGCTGTAGCGCGTTGCTACCCACTGGGTGCATCTACATTTCATTAATGTGCCTTAGATACTGCACATTTAAGGAGTTTTTGGCATGCTCCAGAAGGCGGGGGGGCACTTTAATTAGCACAGCTCCAAGAGCCATGCTAATTGAAAGCACCCAGAGCATCATGTGTATCAGTGTCCCCATGCTGAAAAATGGTGGTGGGGTGCTTTGAACTCAAGCTCGTCAAACGTGCTTTAGTTTATAGTGCCCCGCCGCCATTTTTCAGTGCCGGGACATTGATACACATGACGCTGAACTCTGCTCGAGTGCAGTAATTTCCATGCTCCAGCAGACTCAGTTATTCAACTCTGCTCCGATGCACTGGAAATCCAGGGTGTTGGAGCAGGCTCCCTGCACATGTATAGAAGCCCCTAGTTTAGTACTTGCTTAATAAAGTACTAACTAAATGTGCAGTACTGAGAGTTACTTGCACAGTACCGCCGGTGCACGGTTTAGTGACACATCGTGCTCATTAGCTTAATAACACTATGCAGCAGGCTATTAGCATAGTTTTTGCCATGACACACTACTGTGCAGTGTTATTGGGCTAATGATCAGTAAGTGTCTTGTGTAGATGCACCTACTGAAACATGTTCAAAATAAATCTGCAGGAGAACAGAAGGACATTTTATATGTGTTGTAATAAATTGTAAAATCTGGGATTTAATGAGTGAAATATTATGAATACAGAGTAGCTTACAATTCTCATCTTTGAGTGACAACATGACAAACCACTGAATTCTCCCTGCCATTCAAATCAAACAAGTTTTGCTAACATGCAGCTTGAAGAACAAGGTGTTAAAAATATGCAGTATCATTGCAACAAGCTATAACTATATATATTTGTTTTATCCTTAAAAAGTCTTTAAAATAGATTGTCATTCAGTTTTGTAAAAGCTTATTTAATATTAGTAACCCAAGCAAGCATTGTGAGAAGGACAGAATTACTTTATGGAAGAAGCAAGCGTTTTGGTAATATATATTTGTGGACTGACTGTGTAGTTGGTAGAGATGTTAGACAAGCTTTTGGGCACAAATGTCTTTACCAGCTATACAGCTGGTTCAGTATAAGATATCACCAAAAAAACCCTTTCTCTTTGAATATTTCGTGGACCATCATCACCTACAACAACACTCTGACCCTACTACAGGAATATTTTAGATTTTCCTTAGTAACAGTAGTTGATAAAATATCTTAATGACACCTTTCAAATGAATTATTTTCTTTTCTCACAGGGTGATGTGAGGGATTATGATGCTGTATTCAAGGCTTGTGAAGGGGTTGACTGTGTTTTTCATTCAGCTTCATTTGGAATGTCAGGACTGGAGCAAGTGAGTACAATTTTCATATTGTTTTTCTTCCTTAAGCCTTGTAAGAGCAGCAGCATACTGTACACATAGAAATGGGTGAAACAACAAAATTAATCAAAAAACACATGCTTGTTCATTTTTTCAAGTAGTTGTGCAAGTCCTAGTTTTTGTTTTTATGGAGTTTATTTTTAGTGAAAAACACATTTTAGATCCAAAAATAAATTTAATTTAAGCTTCTGATAAATGTGATTAGATTAAATTTGGGCAGAACTGGTTGGAAGTTTCTTTTATAAATGTTGAATATTCCAAGCAGAAAATAAGGAGGTATTTATTAAATAGTTCCAAATTGTTAACCTAATGCATAGACCAAGATAATAATCTTGGAGTATGTATAGACAGCCTGACTCCAGGACTTTGGAAAGGAAGAGATCTTCCCTTCTCTCCAGTCTTCAAGGCTAGGGACAGAAATTACACACAAACTGGTATAAGTGATCAGAAACCAGTTCAGATCTGTAACACAACAGAAGTTCCATGCACATAAACCACTCTCAAAATGGCCAAAACTGGTTTAAGATAAACCTGGGTGGATATAGTATCAGATTTAACGGATTTAGGTTAAATTGGTTTATTGAACTTCTGTCCCAGATCTCTTCCAGATTCAATTTAACTTACAGTCCCCCAGCATCCCAAGATACTTTGCACCTTTCCTGCAAGCCCTCCCCCTCAGGGTGGGCAGGCTTGGCCCAAGCTGTCTGCTCCAGCCAAACAGAGGCATGCTCTAGAGCCCCCTGGCTTCTGGTCTGAGCCACGGCAGGCACGTGGCTTCATTTCCAGAATCAGAAGTGAGTGTCTGTTCACTTACTTATTGATTCAGTCTACACAGTTTAGACTAAGCTGTGAAGATTGAATCAATTCAGCCTTGGGCTTTTTGACTGTGAGACTGGCCAGTGTAACGTAACTAAGATACATAGATAAGTGGTTGATCAAAGCTAAGGCTAATTTTTTGGTGGTAAAACAGGTACTTGGCCAGCCTCAGAATATGGGAAGGCATGTAGGTGGCATAAATCCATCCTCTTTCTCATGGTCTTGCCAAGCCTCGCTTGAGCAAGGCAGAAAATTGAGATCTTGCAACCTACTTCCAGGAACATTTTCACTTTCACTTTATATTTATCAATTTATTTGTGAACTGTTAGCACAATAAAAAATAAAAGGGGAGTTTACAGAACATTGCTCTGTCTTTGAAAGACAGGGAACAGTGAACTAAATAACAAAGTGGACGTGATTGTTTTACTTTTGAGGATTAAAACAGTTATGTGGTGAATGTAAATTGTTAAATTTACAGATACTCTATAAACTCTGCTTTTAGCTACAACATAAAGAAAAGATTGAATCCACAAATGTTGGTGGCACAAAAGTAATCATGGATGGTATGTATAGAGATTTTCTTTCCTTGGACCGAATCCAAACCCAGTTTAATCAGTAGAAAGATTTCTGTTTACTTCAGTAAACTTTGGATCAAACCTTTAGTGCAGGAGACAAAAAGCAATGCTTTCACCCTTATTAGCAGAGTAAGGAATTAATCTATGTAAACAAGGGTGGCAGAATGCGGCTCTAATTTAAAACACTTGTAGTATACTGAAAACATTTTTTATTATATTTTATGTTGAAAATGAACCTTCTGCATAGCCCTTGTAGTCTGGACAATTGGGATGAAATAATGGATACCACTAAGTGCGTTTATACATGTGCTCTGGGGGGGTGCTTTAATTAGAGTAGCTCTTGGTGCCTATACACAAGCAGGGAGGCTGCTCTGATGTGCTGTAATTTCCATGCTCCAGTGCTCTTGGAGCCACTCTAATTAAAGAGCCCAGAGCATCTTGTGTATCAGCATCCCTGTGCTTAAAAATGGTGGATGGGGCGCTTTGACTAAAGCTTGTTAAACGAGCTTTAGATACATTCCCCCCACCACCACCACCATTTTTGGGTGGCGGGCCACTTAATGGGTGTTGGTGACCTGTCAACAGCCACACCTCTCTCCCTCTTCTTTTTCCCATCCCTCCCTCCCAGGGCAGTGACCAACAGGGAAGCCTGAACCTGCCCGTAGCTTTCGCATACCCCACCCCCACCACACCCCTGTGGCTGGAGTCCACCTGCCCACAGCTTTAACACACCTCCCCCCCTCCATTTGGGCAGTTGTGGATTGAGCCAGCAGCTGCCGGGTCCAGACAGGGGGGAAGAGGGAGCAAGTATGCTACAGCTGTGGGCAGGATCATGCTTCTGCTTTTGCGCTGGTGTCCGCCCCAGCCCAGAGAGAGAGAGGGAGCACCTGGCATGCCAGAAGCAGCGCCAGCTGCCCAATACCACGCAGCTGCTGAATCCAGAGCTGCTGCCTGCCCACAGGCCAGATCCATTTACTTGGCGGATGCCCGCCCATGGGCTGGATCCATTCACTTGGTGGGTGCCCTCCCACGGGCCGGATCCAATCAGTTGGCAGGCCGGATCTGGCCCACAGGCCATATTTTGCCCACCTCTGGGCTAAACCATCAGCTTCCACATCCTCTGATGGCAACGAGTTCCATACTTCAATTACACGTTGCATGAAAAATCTTCCTTTTGTTAGTTTTAAACTCACTACCTACTAGTTTCATTTTGCGACCCCTTGTCCTTGTATTGCAAGAGAGAGTAAATAATAAATGGCTATTTACTTTCCCTCCCTTTGCTATTTATCATGTTCCCCCTCAAGCATCTCTTTTGTAAACTGAACAGGCCTAGCCTCTTTAGTCGTGCCTCATATGGAAGCTTTTCATACTGCTAACCATTATAAGAGTCTACTCAATTCACAGTTCCGTGAATTTTGCGGAAACTGCAGAATCCGGGATTGTCCATGAAATAAATTAAAAAAATAAAATAAAATGCTGGCTCCCCGGTGGGAGCCAGTGGTTCTTGCTGCTGCTGTGGCCCAGGCTTGCAGCTGCCAGGGAAAGGGGAGGGAGCTGCTTGGTGGAGCAGCACAAAGGGTGACAGACAAGATAGTAGCCATCTCTGAGGGGCAGAGCTGCCAGAGCACATGTGGGAAATATCCTCAGAATTTGCTATTTATGCTGTGACCAACCCACAAAAATTGTTTCATTTCTCCACAAAGTTAAACATTAAGTAGATGCCTGCTAATCATCCTTGTTGCCCTTCTCTGGTTCTTCTCTGTCCTTCTTGAGGGGTGAGGACCAGAACTGGGCACAGTATTCAAGACGTGGACAGACCATGGATTTATAAAGAGCCACGATGACTCTTTCCATTTTGTTTACAATTTCTTTCTTAATAGTTTGTTTGCTTTTTGATGGCTGCTGAGCACTGAGCTGATGTCTTCAGCAAACTGTCCACAGTGACTCCCAGACCTCTTCGCTGTGTGGTAGCAGCTAATGTAGAGTCCTTCATAGTGTAGTTATAGTTCGGGTTATGCTTGTGCAAGTGAATCACTTATCTCCATTGAATTTAATCTGCCATTTAGTTGCCTGTTTTCTCAACCATGCCAGAGCCTTCTGTAGTTCCTCACAGTCCACCTTGGTCTTTACCACTTTGAATGATTTTGTTATTGGCAAATTTGGCCACCTCACCGCTCACCCCCTTTTCCAGATCATTTATGAATACTTTAAACAGAACTGGTCCCAACACAAATCCCTGGGAGATCTTGCTGTCCCATCCTAAACACTGACAATTTACACTCCCTCTTTGCTTTCTATTTTTAAGTCAATTTTGACCCACAAGTGGGCATTCCCTGTAGTCCCATGACTATCAAACTTATTTAAGAGCCTCTGGTGGGGTCCTTGTCAAATGCTTTTTGGAAGTCCAAATATATTACATCAGCTGGATCATCCTGGTCCATCTGCTGGTGACACCTTCAAAGAACTAATAATAATGATATTATTTTCCTTCCTCACAGAAATGCTGTGAGAGATAAGTATATTATATATTAGTATAATTTATTATGCAGTCAATGTCAAGTGGAAGGTAGCATGTATGTACAAGGAGTTATTGCACAGTAAGCTATTATTTAGTATTTTAATAAACATGTTATTAAACTACATTGTTATATTGTTTTACTAAAATACTAGATCTCTCCTTTCTGTTCCCTGCAAAATTCACACCCAACAAAACTTGATCTTTTTTTCAGTATATTTTGGCTTTTAACAATGCTCTCCAGAAAATGACAATAGATTTCTCTCTGGTACTGTTGGTTCCAGATACAGCATTTCGAAGTATTGTATGTATCAAGAGCTGAATTCTTTTATTATGCTTCTGTCCTCTTGATGCTGGCAGTCAGCTCAGACAGAAATGACAATTTTCGCCCAATCTGGCCACAGAAAGTCATTTATAGCTGTGGCCAAACACAAGTGCATGGCTGCAGACAACTTCAGAAAATGGCCTATCAGATGAAAATCTGACCCCTCGTGCAGGCCAGATGAAAACATTTCAAAACAGAGCATCTTCTGTAACTTCTGTTTGCACTGCCTGCCAACCTGTTGCTGTTTTCAGAAGGGAGGGAGGAAAGGGAGCAGTGGGAGTTCAGTCTGGGAGTTTTTCAGGCCCTGCTGGAAGGTGGGGCAGGTGTATTGGAGCCTCCCCAAGGTGGGGGTGGGGAGGCTCCAGTTCACCCACTGCACCCTCCACATTGGCCGGGGAACCCCTGGAAAGAGCTCCCTCCACTCTATTTTCCCCCTCCCATTCTGAAAACTTTGCAGCCTCACAGAGAGCAAGGGCCATTTCTACGGGAAATCAGCTGCAGGCTGCAGCCAGCAGGTAGATTCCCCTTCCCCACTGGAACCAACACCCTGTTTGTCCCAGGGGCTCATTGTAACTCAGAACACTTCCCGCAAAGCGTTCTCGGTTACAGCAGGAAGCTGCAGTTCTGTCTACACTCCTTCACTATGCACTGGATTTTGTGTCACCTGTATGAATCCCAGGCTCTGCTGCTGATTGTCTCTACAAGAAGCAAAAAAAATACAAATAAAGAGATAGGAAGATCACTGGGAGGTGTGCCAAATATTTCCTGCCTTAATCCCTAATAGGATCAACCTCAGAAACCACAAAAATCTTGTTGGGTCATATGTTCATGGGTTTCAAAACGAACAGAAGTCTGAGAGAGTTGCATACACCCTCCGGCTCCCTGCTTGCTGTGGTTTGTCAAGATACACCTTGCCAAAAGCCAGAATTTTCCCTCATATATTTGCAGTGTAGTAACTATTTTTACAGTCCCCATCATGATAGCTGCCTTCCTTCTTACTGTTGCAATAAGGCTATACATGCATAGTCAGTAAGACTATGTAGTAAGACCATGCATGAAACTTATTGTTTAAGTAGGGTAGACTATATATGCATAATAGGTAGCCAAGCAATGTTACTCTTATTAGCACAGTTGTTCTATGATTTGGGCTCTTCCTTCCCCGTACACTGTGGGTGCATCTACCTGTGCCCCTGACTGCACATTTGGTACTGCGCAGTGATTTAGTACTTGTTTTACCAAGTACTAAGTGACTGTGCAGTATGCACTACAACTGCACAGTCCCGACAGCACACGGTTACTTTTAGACACTATGGCGACATAGCATCAGCATCATGGTTTGTGCCTGCTGATGCTATATCACTGTAGTGATGAGCTAAGTCACTGTGTGTACGTGTGCCTGCATGATATTTGCTACTCCTACACCAAAAATTATGTGTGGGAATGTGAGGCCTAGATAGAATATTAGTATCTAAAAGTCGAAAGTCAGTTTGGATTTAGAAGATATAATATAAGATTTGAATAACATTTGGCTTAGTTTCTTTTCTGTTTTTATTCCTTTCTCATATTTTAGCCAAATTCTCACTTCACAACTGCTTGGAAGAGGAAGGTTAGATTCATTCTGTTTTGTCTTTCTCAGCATCTGACAAAGTAGGCTGTTGCCTATGAAAGCTCATGCCTCTCAAAACCACCCAGTCTCTAAGGTACCAACCTGATCTACCTTTTGTATTTTCTCTGTTGTAAAACTAGAGAAGAGATAGAAAGATGCCTCTAACATCTGTCCTTCATAATATTTTGGAAGATGATATAGGAAGGAAGTCTTTGCCTTTGAGACAGTTAAAAAGGCAGCTTTGCCTACCATCACAATTAAGTCCTTATGAGATGGAACTGGAAATAGCTTTATGGGGCACATCCCTACAAGTGCACATGTGTGGTTTGCAGTGTCTCATACCCATCTGTGGTGCTACAAACTGCACACACCACATGTGTACACATTTATTATACTGCTAATTAGCAGCACGGCAGGGGGTTTTTTGACACCGAGAGATCCAGGTGTAAAAAAAAAAATGCACCAAAAAAAGCAAGCCAGAACAAATTGGTGTGGTACACATGGCTGCAGCGTGTGCTGTCTGAAACCAGGGCCTGGCTGGCCAGAGCCATGTTCCAGCTGCCAGCCAGGCTCTGTGCACCCCAGGACCCCAGGTAAGGCTGCTGGAGCCATCCCAGGTGCTGTCCCCAGTCTCTCCTACCCCACCCGGAGCAATCTGCTGTGCACCAATGTACACATGGGGGTGCATGCTTGGGGTCAAATATGTGCCGCTGCTATATGTCCCCAGAGAAACACATGTTCCTGGTCATGGGGACACACCCATGGAGTTTTTTCTGAATAAGCAAGGAGGTGACAACACAGACCAAATGTGCTGAAAGTAACAGTGCTCTCACAGCTGTCAACTGGAGGTTGCAGCTGGAGTACTGCATCCAGTTCTGGGCTCCTCAATTCAAGAAAGATGTCAAGAAGCTTGAGAGAGTCTAGAGGGGAGCCACACGCATGATCAGAGGGCAAGAAAACAGGCCTTATGAAAACAGGCTGAGAGCCATGGGACTCTTCAGCCTGGAAAAGCACAGGCTCAGGGGAGGCCTGGTGGCAGCCTATAAGGGGTGTACGTCAGGATCTGGGAGAACATCTGTTCACCAGAGCACCCCAAGGTAAAACAAGGACCAACGATCATAAACTCCTCCAAGACTGTTTCAGGCTGGACACAAGAAAAAATGTCTTTACTGTCCGAGCCCCCAAGACCTGGAACAGACTCCCTCCAGAGGTGGTGCAGGCACCTACTCTGGACTCTTTCAAGAAACGTTTGGATGCTTATCTTGCTGGGATCCTTTGACCCCAGCTGACTTCCTGCCCCTGGGCCAGGGGGCTGGACTTGAAGATCTTCAAGGTCCCTTCCAGCCTGAACGTCTATGAATCTATGAAAACTGTTCAAGATTGGGCTAAAGTGACTTTGGCAAGAAGGGTTGCTATCCACAGTAATAACCACACCAAAAAAAGAAGATCATTTATAATTCTGTTTGATCACATCAGAAATGCGTATTTCAATTTATTTCATTTACCCCAAACACACAAAATTAAACTTGTATGATGTTTCTGAAATACAGCATAGCTTTTGAGTTTCTTCAAAGTGTCTCATCAATAGTTGTCTTCTCCATCTGTTGAATGCAATTTAGTGGCAATATGGGCATCATGTATCAGGCTTAGCAGAATTCAGGTTTTTTTAAACAGTTTTGATGGATAACATTGATATTTATTTTTAAGCATTTTATTTCAATTTTTATCGATTTACATTTTCAGGAGTGCACAAAATTAAGGGTGTAGGGGCAGACAATTTATTAATGACAAACTTTGCTTCTGTAGGGCTGCTGTCAGCTGAGTGGCAGAACTGCCATCAGTCCAAACTTTGCTTGCCTTTGCTTCCTTGTCCACTTTGTCACCTCTCCTTCCTTTGTTCTCAGTCCCCTGGGGTTTCTGGGAGTTGCAGTTTAACCTACAGTCAGCATGGTTCTGTACTGCTCCCCTTTCATTACACAATTCATGAGTCATCATTTTTCTTATGTCCCCTTTCTACAAATGTTTCTACATATTAACAGTGGAAATATTTTTTGCTGATCTCTGAGTGAGGTGAAATCGACATTTATGAACATTTACCAATAAAACTAGAATCCTGCCAAGCCTGTGTATATGCAGTTTGTAAGGCACATAGTCATGACTAGCATTTTATGACATATGTTGGAGGTGAGGAAATGCCATCTGAATGAAAGGTAATCTTGTTAATAATGCTAAAAGTTAGGCTGTCTTTTTTATAGACGCTGGAGTTACTTTTAATAAAACAATTCTCATTGTCAGTTCATTTATTTTCCTAATCGTCTCTTTTTATTTCAAATAAATTATTTTGTGTATTATTACAGTTTGCAAGCAAAGAAGTATCCCAAGGCTGGTATATACCAGTACGGTGAATGTGGTGTTTGGGGGTAGTCCCATTGACGAAGGAGATGAGGAAACAGTACCATATTTTCCACTAGAAAAGGTACTTTTCCTATGTAATTGACCTCGTCAGCTTTATCTGTAGAAAAGCATTTTTGTCCAGCTTCAGTAAATTGGATTTTTTGTGTCTTAAAGGGCACTTATATGAAGAGTGTTTGTTTCTATAGGTCCATTTTTGCGTAGATGTAGTTCTTGCTACCAGAGCTCTGTTGTGAGATTATTTTCACAGGTGGAATATGTTTAATAAAAAGATGCTCATATCAAACATCAGTCATTTATTCATAAGCAGATCTGGGGTCTTGGAAAAAGTAAACTAATGATAAGTTAGAAGTGGACTTTGAAGTTCAACGAGAAGATTCTTTACTGTAGGGGCTGTCAGTTCTGATTCCTTGACTCTCACCCCTTTTAGACTCAAGGTACCCCCACCATTACTTTTCTCAACTTAGTGGCACACCATTTTAAAAAATAATGCATTCACCATACATAAAAACAATATGACTGAAAACACTTTAAACAAGCTGGGAAAACACACACATTAATAGCCATAATATTATAATAGTATAAGACACTTGAGCCTGTGGCAGGGCCAAGTTGGAGGCAGCTTTGGCACAACTGAGTTGAAGAGCTTGGCAAGAGAGGAAACAGGGCATGAGCCAGTGCCCACTGCTCTGGGTAGAACCCAGGGAGGCTCTGCTGTTGCACTTAAGTGGGTTTTTAAACGTAGCGCTTTAAGGATTTATAGCTTCAACACATTTTTCCTTGATGATTAGCTAGTTAAAGTGTAAACAAAACAGGGAGGAAAAGGGTGACCATCATATTACAATTGTTAAATTGCCTTACTCCTGTTTTTGGATTTGTCTAGGTGTGAAGACTTGTGTTTCTTGCAGCTATTGACTAGCTCAGCAATTAAATGTGATGGGCCGTGAGCAGTCAAATCAGGACACCTAGAGGCATTGCAATGTTACTGGCCCTGTCTTTGGGTATTTGTTTATCAATGGGGCAAATTTGCAATAGCTTGTACCGGTTATGGTCTATTTACAAAACTCCAAATATTCATTGAATGATTGAGACATTTGTAACACCTTAGACATTGGATGGCTGGTTTGAGAAATGTGAGCATGTCCCTTACAGGACATTTTTCCTGTATTCACAGGTTTTGCTTGAAATGTATATTTAGTCTTTTGTCTTCTTTAGTTGCTAGTTCAATTGAAGTGTATATGTAGTTTCCTTGCCTTTAGTGACACTTGGGAAAGAGTCTTTTTCTGTCATTTAGTTTTGTTGCTTGTTGGTAGTTATTAAAGCAAGCCTTTCTGCTATTAATCAACAGAGTGTCAATTCTTAAAGTACTAGATTTAAAAAAGCCACTTTTAAGTGCAATCCTGTTGCTTCCTAGAGCAAATGCCACCTAGTCCTTGCCTGCCAGGCAGTCTAACTGGCGCTTGACTGCACAGCTTGCCCAGTGAGCTGGGAGGTCAGGGGCCTAATCCCCAGCTGAGGGAAGCAAAACTGGAGTTTGAAGAAGTGCTGCTATATCCTGGCTGAACCCAGCAGAGGCAGGGGAAGCACTGTATCTTGTCTAACCTCCTATTAGGCTGGGCTGCAGTCAGCCACATCCCAGTCCAGCTCCTCACAACATGTCCTGGAAACAGAAGCATGGCAAGACAGGTTGCCCTGGTGACGGCAGGGGCAGTAGTTGCAAGGCAGCATCATTAAAAGACTCTTGCAGCATCCTGCTTGAGAATCACTACTCTAACTAGACCAGATGTAGATTAGAGTAACCTGGGGATACTCCAGTTTACCTTAGCTTAGTGAAAAGTGATATAATTTCATTACATTTGCATTTTCTTTTTAGCAAGTTGATCATTATTCTAGAACCAAGGCAATAGCAGACCAAATGATACTTGCTGCTAATGGAACCCCATTAAAAGGTATGCTTAAAGTATTAATTTTCTACTGTTACTAATACATTTTCAAACTATAAACAGTATGGGCACTTGTACACGTGATGGTGGGACCATGTGCATGTGACAAAAAGTCACAAGAAATCATCATTTGTCTAACATAATGGTATCCCCACGTACACATGCACAATTTCTTTTTGTGTTAAAATTTATTTGAGTATGGCAACTTAAACTATCTCAGATGTATTTTAGTTTGATCGGGGGAAATTGTCCCATTGTGAATAAAAAGAACAAAAAACCAAAAACCATGCACACGTACATGTCTGGCAGCCAGTGAAGGTGGTGGGGACGGTGCACGGGATGCTGGAAGCCCAGGTGGGCTCACAGAAGTTTAGGGTTGGCGGGCTTCCAGCACCCCAGGCACCGCCCCCACCTCCTTCTTCAGCAGCCAGCACACCTAGCTGCCCTCCTGCCACCTTCCCACACTGCCCCAGGGGCAAGCCAACCCATTTCTGGGCAGTTCACAGGGCACTGGACGCCTGCCATACCCGAGCTTCCCTGAGCATGCCTGGTCTTCCAGCACCCCATGCACCATTAGATCAGGTCAGATGCTACCCAGCTAGCACCCTGCCCAGGCAGTCCAAGGGGGTGCTGCCGCCACCACAGAGGAAAGCATCAGGCCCATCCACAGCCCAGGGGCTGCACAACTTGGCAGCAGCTCACTTACGCAGGCTCCTCTGGGGGAAAAAGTGCCGAGCCCGATCCTTTTTTATTTTACCCCCTTGTGGGGGCTGCCTGCCTCTCCCACAGCTGGGCATGAGCTGCCAGCAAGCTCTGAGCTGTGGGGGGTCCTGGACCTTCCCTCCACAGGGGCAGTGCTCCCCTGGGGCTGCTTAGATGGGGTGCTAATGAGTGGGTGCTGGGGGGGGTACTACCACCATGGAGGGAAGATCCGGAGCTGCCAGCAGCTCACCCCCCAGCTATGGGAGAGGCAGGCTGTGGGGGGCGGGGAAAAAAAAGAATCGGGCCCCTCACTGCTTTTTTTTTTTCTTCTCTCTTCTAGCAGAGCCTGCCCACAGCAAGAAGGGGTAAAGTGACAGCAGGCCACCACTGTTCCATCACAGTGACGGGAGCCCCTAAATTGAAATGGTGGGTCACAATTAAAAATCCACCATTTCAGTTTAAGGGAACTAGATGTCCCTCACGTGTACAAGCGCCCTTTGGTCTTTTTCTTCTCTCAATAAATGTGTTTAATTTCTGTGTATGAGTATTCAGGCAGATAAGGGACCATACACAAATGATAAAAAAGGATAACAAAAGATTAAGAAAATTTAAACTAAGTTAATTATAAATTATGGTTAGTTTAACAATAAGAATAGGATTTGCTCCTTTCTTCCTTCCCAATGTTCATTATTCTTACTTAGATTAGTCATCCCACTGAGTTTCCTTATAGATGCAAAGTCTCCAGAAGTCTGACCACTAGCCTCATCTTCACAAATCCCCCCAAGTTTACAGATGATTTCCAAGAGAGCCATTGCTTGTTACTTAGATTTTACAATTTCTGGTTCATGCTAGTTTCTAAATCTTGAGTGCCTAGATAGCAGTTCCCACCCTGAATTGTTTGTTCATGCTGAACTTTGGAAGAAGGGTCTGTTCCTTTTTCTCTTTCTCATGCATATCTCACTGATATTACGTATTGCTGGGCCTCAACGACACATTAATGTACTGTACATGGCAACACAAGCTGAAACTATGTAATAAGCTAATGCAGAGGGTATTATTTAATAGTTTCATACAGAAAGCATGTTACACCTGTTCTTTGTAGTGTATTGGTTAGCTATTATTTGCATAAGGAGTTTAAAATATTAGTTTTAACCTGAAAAGTCCAAACTAATTTGGAAGCTGACTGCTTTAAAGACTGTTTCTATCCCTATGTGAAGTTGTAATCAGTGGAGGAATAGCTATAGCTAACCTGGGATGTTCAGTGTTCTGTGTTTCTCACAGCTGTGGATTGGACTTTATTTTATAAATCTAAGTAAATAATTAGACTGAAAGGAGTAATATCTCCAAATCAGGGATGAAGCATATTGTTGGGGAAGTCTCTACTAGTGCCTTCTGCATTCTGTTTTCATCCTTCAAAGTAAGGGCAGCAATTTTCACAAGTATGAAATTAATTTTTAAAGGAGGATGAAAACACTTTCCTTCAAAGGGAGTTTCTCACAGAATAGCTAGTCTATTTGTCCTTGTACTTCCCAAATATACAAATACAAGTAATATATATATGATACCTCTCATGTAGTAAGAAAACCTTTTAATTTTATCTCCTAGGAGGGGATAAGCTCCATACATGTGTTATTCGCCCACCAGGCATCTATGGACCAGAAGAGGAAAGACACCTGCCACGAGTAGTGGTATGTATTGTATAATCCAATCCAGAGGATATTATAAGAAGTTATACCTGTACTATTTTTCCATCTAAAAATCAAATGTACAAACCAGTATCCTGATTACAGATCAAGGCATTGGAGTGAGATTTGTAAAGGTATGCAGACACCTAGAATAGGATTTAGGTGGAATTTAGTCTTGAACCCACTCCAGTACAGTAGGAGGGCTGATCTGCTTTTCCCAGCTCCCACACTGCATTGGAGCCTCCTGAACATATTACCTTCATGAAGCAGTTGGATGTTAGCTTAACATGTGTTAGGCTTTAAGAACATTATTCAAAAACTCACGTGCCAGAGGGTATATGTGCAGACTCCTTGACACTCTTGAGATCATTGCCAGAAAACCAACTTGCCTACTTCCTCAGTTTCAGATTTTGAGATTGCACTAGGAGGGCTGATTTGTCTTTCCCAGCTCCCACACTGCGTTGGAGCCTCCTAAACATATTACCTCTGTGGAGCAGTTGGATGTTAGCTCAACATGTGTTAGGTAATGTGATCCTGAAAGTCCTAACATTGCTATGTTATAATGGCGCTTAACACGTTTTATCACTTGAACTCTTGGATGCTAGAATTTTAAGTCCAGTTAACATGTCCTTAGGGTGACAAGTGACAAGGCCCCAAGAGAGTGATACCTAGAAACCCCACCTAACTGCATTATGATCCCAAGGTATCTTTGGTGACTTAGCTTCTGGTAAAAGCCTGCTTAGGTGTCTGAAGTTCAAGTGTGTTACTAGAGATTCTGCAAATTTAACTGAGCCAAGCATTTAGTTAGGCATCTATGGCCTACCTAAGAATGTTTGAAATGCACAGATTAGGCATCCCTTGTACCTTAATCTTTGGAGGGGCCCATGCCAGTAGTGGTGCTGTGAGCACACCTGACACTCAAGTGAGTGAAAATGGTTGTCATTGTTGAATTCAGAACAATGTATGTGACTTTTAAAGGCCTAGAAATCACAGCTGTTACCCAGGGAATGGAAGATCTGGGTTCTAAGCTCTCTGCAGCTTCCAGAAGTTCAAACCCACAGCTTTGACTTCCTAGAGAAGTGCCCAAATCAGCCTAGAAACTGTGTTGGGATGAAGGTTCTCTCTGGTCCTCCTGTTCAAGTTGTTTCACTGTATAGAAAGGAGTACAACATTCAGTATGCAAGAGCAAGAGGGAACCTGACTCTCAACCAGCAAGGAAGGCATTCTCCTGACAGAAGGGACTTCTGAACTCTGCTCCCATGTTCTTTATGCATTGTGCACTAGAGTCATCAGATCAAATACATAAACACCATTTGGAACAGGAGTCAAAACTCAGGACTTCTCCCTCTCAGGCAGGGTCTGGGAGTTATGTTCTCATCTTGCTTACTCTATCATGCCTATGAATCTTGCAGTCCTTCCTACACAGTAGCCCAGCTTCCATAGGAGGAGTGTTGGGAGCTCTCAACCCCCCCACCCTAGTGTTTGCTGGCCATAAGGACAGTGTCCTGGGAAGTAGGACATGTGAGTCTGAACACCTTAGGAGAAGGGGGCCCTAGAATCCATAATTCTAGGTGAATGCTCTGTCACTAGGCTACTATATAAAAGGTGACCCCTGGCACATCTTAAAAGAGTGAATCAGCTGCCGTTACATGAAGGAATGTGTTAGGGCTAAATCTAAGTCTAGATGTATGATTCAGGTTGCAAATCTCAATCTCATATAGGCACCTAACTCAAGTGGGGAGGTAGGCATCTAAATTTGGAAGAGAGGCAGTGTTTTAGAAACATTCCATTCCTATTGGCTGTTTGAAGTCCCACCCTACCCCCACACACACACAGATACACAATGCTCAGCTAAATCCCACTCCAATGTACCTCCCTCCAGGGAACAAAGAGTATACCTACATTCAGGGAGTAGGGAACTACTGGAATTGCAATTTTGTGTTTTTCATGGATGTTGCAGGGCACTAAGTTGTGCCTGCTAATTTAAGGACAGGAGCAGCATAGCCAGGGAGCTCTGCAAGCTAGGCAGTGCATCACAGCCTGAGCAACAGGCTAATGTAATTAGCCAGCATCTGCAGATGGTCAGCTGACCAGAAGGAGGCAAAGGCCTGAGCACATATAAACCCAAGGCTGGGGCTGGCAGAGGTTAGTTCTCTGGCAATAGCCAGGGGAAGGAGCTCCTGCACAAGGAAGCTACTCAGGGACCTTTGGTGGCCTGTTCTACTGCCTGCAAGATTAGTAAGGCTCCAGGACCTCATAAAAGGTACCCAGGGCTAGGAGGCATGCTATATGAGGTGAGAAGTTTGTGTTCTTAAAGGGGCAGAGCGCAGCCTCTTTTGGTTATTGTTATGTTATAGCTCAGGGCCTTATGTTTGTATTATTGTTTGTACCACAGGTTTGGGATGATGCTGTAAGGGGAGGTTTGGAGGCATCATTAGCACCCAGAAGAGTAAATTGGCCAATTTGTGGCCTCGAGTCCACCACGATCCACTGGCTGGAAAATTGGCTCCGTGGTCGGACCCAGAGGGTGGTAATTGATGGAAGTCAATCATCATGGTGCCCTGTGACCAGTGGCGTCCCCCAAGGCTCTGTCCTTGGACCCATATTGTTCAACATCTTCATTAATGATGTGGACATTGGAGTCAGAAGCGGACTGGCCAAGTTTGCCAATGACACCAAACTTTGGGGTAAAACATCCACACCTGAAGACAGGAGGGCAATCCAGGCTGATCTGGACAGGCTCGGCAAACGGGCAGATGAGAACCTGATGGTGTTTAACACTGAAAAATGCAAGGTTCTCCACCTTGGGAGGAAAAACCTGCAGCATCCTTATAGGCTC